AAATCAAAAGGGCATAACAATCCATTAAAAAAACACCCTCTTAGACATCTAGTCACTAAGGGAAAGCCTGCCTGAAGAGAAAGGTCTTTGCCTGCTTGCGGAAAGACAGCAAAGATGGGGCCAGCCTGGCCTCCTGTGGAAGGGAGTTCCAGAGTCTGGGAGCAGTGATAGAGAAGGCCCTCCTCTCACATGCACTTACCAAATGCACCTGTGAAGGTGGTAAAACCAAGAGAGAGGCCTTCCCATTGATCATAGCGCCTGGGTAGGCTCATAAAGTACTGTATAAATGTGGTTCAAACTTGTTATGTTTCTTAAATTCATTAGTATGAAAACAGGGATGCCATCAAAGATTTTGTGTGACATTCCTTATTCAGATTTCACAATGTACTTAATATATGTAATATTTGTACGTACTGTATAAGTGTTTAGAGCATTTCACATGCTCTTGTTGTTTAGTCGTTAAGTCATGTCCGACTCTTTTGCATCTCCACTACTCTGACCCCATGGACCAGAGCACGCCAGGCCCTCCTGTCTTGCACTGCCTCTTGGAGTTTGGTCAAATTCACATGTGACCCAGTTGCAATCATTACAACAACCTTACAAATTAAGTCAATTATTATTATTTTCTATACACTGAAGAAATCTGGCTGGATAGCTGAGTTAGCTAGGTATGTGGCTGTGGGGCCAGAGGTTGGAAGTTCAATTCCCACCATTAATCCCAGAACAGCCAGCCTGTGTAACCTTGGGCAAGGTGCGCAGTCCCAAGATGTCCCCAGAAAAAGGGAACGGTAAATCCCTTCTGAGTTCTTTTTACCAAGAAGACCCTGGAAAGGATCACCATAAGTCAGAATTGACATGACAACACACAATAATCATCGTCGTTGTCGTCATCAACAACGTTGTTAGAGTTAGCCTGAAATTGGAATTGAAAATACATTTATTTTGCAGAGATTTGATTGACGTGTTCTTTCTGTCTTTATGAAATTAGACTTCTTCAATGGAATCCCACGTTTGAATCCTGAACACCAACCACCAAATAAAAGCAAGCTATTTTGCATAATCGTAGAGATGAGATAACCTTATGCTATGACACTCAGATGCGAACATCAGGTAAGAATTTTCATCCTCCACTCATAGACTATCTCTAATATCTGTTTCTGGCTGGAGAATAGGAGAAAGTACCTAGCAAGTTGATTGAAAAATGTTAATGTGCACCACAGAATTCCTGAATCCTCATTAAGGATGGGGTAGAAATTCATTCAGATCACTTTTTAATATGGCTGAGTTTCATTTCGTAACCCAGAACACAATTGTGTGCTGTTGCTTCCAGTACACTTGCAAAGCTCCCTGACTTTGTAAGTAGTATAAAGGTATAATTAGGAAAGTATAATTATAGAGTAGGTACTAGCAAAGTCCAATTATCGCTTCCTAGTCAAATTTTTTCCAAATACAGTGCTATGGTTGTCTTTTCTGGAAAAAAATCCATACATTGAAGAAAAATGTATTTTAAGAAAAAGTATCTTAGAGGGAATTGCTTTCAAAAATATGCATAGAAAATATATATGGCACTAATTTTCATGCAGACTTAAAAATGCAAACTGATGATAGGGTGCAAGAAAATGTCAATGGGGGAAAAAGTAAACATTATCAAAAGCAATGAGGTACCACCCAAAATCTGTCTGAACCACTCTCTGGGGACCTTAAGAACACCCTCAAAACCTTTGCATGCTTCAAAATATGCCATCTGAATTTCACTGAGAGTACCAGCCTCCAATATTAAATTACCACCTGCTTTTAAATGTAATATTAACTTATTTTTAGTTTTCACTTTATGTTTGTGTTATTTTTTGTTATTGTCACTGTTGTAAACTGCTCAGAGTGACCATCAGTCAGATGGGCAGTATAGAAACTTATCCATCAATCAGTCAAGCAAGCAAGCAAGCAAGCAAGCAAGCAAGCAAGCAAGCAAGCAACCAACCAAGCAAGCAAGCATATAAATGAGATTTCAGCCCATATTTGATTTTTGGAGTTTTCTAAAAAGTTCATCAGGTCAGGAGTACCTGTAAATGACTTTTTCCTGCTGGAAATCTCTCTCCAAAAACATTGACCTGAAACCACGTTTTCCCATTTCCTGCCAGGTGCCCAAGACTTTCAATCTTATTTTTCATTGTATGCTACATTTTTAACAATCTGCACAAATGGATTGCTGCATGGTTTTATAGTACTGTTATGCTTTATGATGTAAGCCATTCTAAGAATCATGACCAGAGAGTGGCTAATAAATGAAACAAACAAACAAATAAATGGCCAACTCCATGCATACGACATGTGTGCTTCTCTCAGTACCTTCAGTTTCCAGAACACAAAGATATTTCAGATCATTTATTCCTCTTGCTCTCACCTTGTTTGACACTTTAATGTGTATGCATCTGTAGATGTTATTTGCTTGCTTATTTTTGGCATTTATCTAAGGCTATAATATTGTTGCAGGCAAAGCATTGCTAGATAAGATCTGTAACAGTCTGTGCTTGGTAGAACTAGATTTGATGACAACAAGAGGAGTTGAGATCCAAGAGTGTCTACAGGAGAGGCATGGAAGACTGGGAGCTATAACATGTGTATAAATAAATATAAAAGCTTTAAAAAGTTATTTTGATTTTTTAAAAACCTAGCCTCCTGGGCAAAGTCTCTTGGGCATCATGCCTAAAAACTCTGAATTTTTTTTCTTAAATCCTGATGAGAGTTCATTGTAGCACTGCTGAAGCAGAACATACAGCATCAAGGAAAAAGTGTCTAGAGGACAAGGTTTCAGTCCTTATTACTTGTCACTTCATTATCTACTTATCCTCAAATGTGGGGAGCACTTTTTACTCCTGGGACTTCATTTTCTTATAATTAACTGGCGGGGGTGGAAAGTGGGGTTAAATATAGTAATGGCCAGGACGAAAGCCACCTACAGACTCTGTTTGCATCCATCCACACACTACTCTCACTCAAACATATTCATGCTTATCAGTATCACACATACCCAAGCCTTTGTTAGTGTCATGAGTGCAGCCGAAGATCCAGAACCTGAGGGGTTAACTGTAGCTGAGGAGAATGCTGAGTGATTAGAAATACAAACAGCTGAATCGCCTCCAGATTCTCCTCCCCCAGTAGACAGGCTGAGGGTCAGGCTTATGACAAAAAGGTCAGAGGATCGCTTGAAGGCTGCTGACCCTGGACTACGTTGTGCATTTTGGCTTTGGACTCTGACCCTGGACTACGTTGTGTGAGTTGGCTTTGGTATTTGGATATTGGCTCTGCATTCTCTGAATTTCTGACATAGGACTGGCTTATCAGACTCTGCTGTTGTAACCCCCGGGAACGTTACAGTTAGAGTCCACAGGACTATGCATAAAATATGCTTTGAAGGGGGCTGTGCGAGCGGGGAGCTGATATGTAATGGTCACATACACAGAAGAGAGTCCATCCATCATCGGAGAAAGAGGACAGAGGAGGATACTGGTTTGCGTAAAACTGCATGTGCTAATTTCATGTACAACTGGACAATCAGAATTTATTTCTGTAATCTTCACAGAATGATTGTGCCTTCCACTTCCAAGAGGAAAACAGATTGTGCCTTTCACTTGCAAGAGGAAAACAGAAAACAGTTACACATGGCTGAAAAAAAAACCTGGTTTTGAATCAAGTTTAGCATGTTTGAAAATGTTTTTAACAATTCCGACTACACAACACAGGAGCGTGTACTCTTTTGACTCAGGAATGGTGTGTGTGTGTATGTGTATGTGTGTGTGTGAGAGAGAGTGAGTGAGTGAGTGAGTGAGTGAGAGAGAGAGAGAGAGAGAGAGAGAGACAGGAATTGTGTGTCTAGAGACAGAGCAAGGTATGTATTCGCGAAGGCTTTCACAGGCAGGACGTGCACTCTTTTGACTCAGGAGTGGTGTGTGTGTGTGTGTGTATGTGTGTGTGAGTGAGTGAGAGTGAGAGAGAGAGAGAGAGAGAGAGGAATTGTGTGTGTAGAGACAGAGCAAGGTATGTATTCACGAAGGCTTCCACGGCCAGGATCTCATGGTTGTGGGTTTTTCGGGCTCTTCGGCCGTGTTCTGAAGGTTGTTCTTCCTAACGTTACGCCAGTCTCTGTGGCTGGCATCTTCAGAGGACAGCACTCTGTTGCAAAGGAGAAGAGATTACCGTATTTTTCGCTCCATAAGACGCACAGACTTTCCCCCCCCCTGTTTTGTGGGGAAAAAGTGCGTCTTATGGTGCGAAAAATACGGTATCTGTCACTGTGGTTGATGGGTGTCATTAGCTGGTCTTTTGTGTGTAATGATCCCCTGTCCTTGTGGCTGGATGGAGTTCGTTGACCTTTTGCACTCTATATTTTTGAGAGCCCAGCCGCTGGTTCCCTGGCACCTTCTCTGTCTCCAACCCATGTGTGTCCATGTCTGTCTGTGGCTTAGAGGGAAAGCTTGCAGTCCAATCTATTTTAATTTCCTTTTCTGTCATACTGAAATATATTGGAACTCCTTCCCACAGGAAGCTAGGCTGGCCCCGTTTTTTGCCATCCTTCCGCAAGCAGGGAAAGATGGTCCTCTTCAGACAGGCGTTTTCCTTTTTTTTTTCCTCCTGGCGGCCTGGTTGTTTTAAATGTACTGATTTTATTGACCATTTTAAATATAATACTTGTTTATTTCCGTTTTAATATTTGTATACACACTGTTTTTAGCTTTTGGATATGGTCTTTTAATTGTTGTGAGCCGCCCAAGGTCCTTTTGAGGAGAAAGGTGAGGTAAAAAATATTTAAAATAAATATATAATAAATGAATAATTAGCACTATACCAGGTTGCAAGAAATTTAAAAAAAAAAACACCACAGCAGCAGTGGCTAGCGAGGGGCAGCTAGCATGAGGGCAAGCAGGTACCGGACACAACCTTAAATGCAATTATTCTAAGAGCGCTGGTAGCCCCCACTCCCCAACCTATACCCAATGCAGTCGAAAAAGGCCTTAATAATTTTCCCAAGAGGACACACACAAGGACCCCCAAACCACGTGACCACCATGTGTCTTTAAACCAACTTCAGCACCCCTGATCTATCTCCCAGTTCATTTTCATAATGTAAGTGCAGCTTGTCTGTTGTCCAGGTTTCTACCGTCACAGGGTCACTTCAGGGTCCCTAATCTCACTCTTTCACACTCTTTTATCGTTAAATCGATTTTGTACTGGCCAGTCCTTGTAAGGGAGGGTGCCTTCCAAACTTTCCTCCTTGTTTACGGAAATTCTGTAAGCAGCCGCAGAAGAAACAACAGTGCCTGGAGCTTTTTTATCCATGTCTCAAAAACAAGGCTAGGAAAATACTCGGCAATACTGTAGAATTTTCTGAGTCACTGCAGCTTTAACGCAATCATGGCCTTGTTAATCAGTCTCCTGCTATGGGTTACTATACCCATTGCTATAGCAACTGCTAGACATATGCAAAAACGGCAGTGCATGACCCCTGCTCTTAGATTTTTCTGTTCTTTATATATATACCCTCATGTACTACAATGGGAGAATTTAGTCTCCTAAGCACAATTGGTTCTTCAGGGTATACTCAGAATTACACCTCTGATATAGGTGATATAGATTCAGCATTATCCTCCACATAGTAGTGATCTATTTCCCCCATATTTCAGCCAGTCAACCAAGTACCTTTTTCCCTATACACAAACAAATAAAATGACTGGGACAAAAAAATCAAAATATATCCACATATTATCCACCTAGCCAATGGTAGTGTATTTGGACAAAAAAAAGATGCATTTTTCTGTATGTGTATTTTATGAATCTGTATTTTCTATGTCTGTTTTTATTGAATGTTGTAATGATCTGTTGACTGTAAATGAAGGTTTTCTGTCTTATGTGGCAAAACAGAAAAAAAACAATCCTCTGAGTTTCAGCAGGTTGGCCCCATTTGAGGAAATCAGAGTTTATTCCACGGAGGGGGTGTCAGAATTCACTAGAATCAATAAATACCTCCACAAAGTATACATTTTATTTTATTTTATTTTATTTTATTGAAATACCTCCACAAAGCATACATTTTATTTTATTTTATTTTATGTTCA